TACCTCATTGGATAGTGGGTTTAATCTAGATCCACTTAAGATAAAAAAGGAAAAATCGTGAAAAACGATAAGCGAACAACCGCGTGCTCAACCCGGATAATTGTTAGAAAAATTGCTCACCTAGCTTTCATTGTATTATAATTACTTGGGAGAAACCGATGAGCCTTATAACATGACAACAAGCAAATAGAATGTTGTTACATCAAGAGCAAAACCAAAAATTGGAAAACGATTTCATCCAAAAATCAGAGAAACAATCAAACTGCAGATACTGTCAGTCCATTGTCTCTAGATATGCATGTCCTAGCATTGCCATAAAGATCCTATTTTCACCTGGTGGCCTTACACTGATTGTAGTTCCTGTCGGCAACTATCGATTAGTAATTTATTTATCAAAAAGGTCCTTCCTTAACACTGTAACAGATAAGTTAGTTCCATACATGCATATCAGCCAGCAGTGATAAAAACAAGCAAATGACATACCTTTACTTTACTATCCATACCGGCCGAAAGCAATAGGTGTCCGGTTTTCGGGAACAGTCGGATCGCGGCTACTCCACGAGCGTGCGCGCTATTCCATTCGTGCATAAGCTTTTTCGGCAAAAAACAACGATCCACCGGTTCGGTAGACCGGAGGTTCACATTTGGTATGTCGTGAGGGGCATGCAAGAAACTGCGACCCTGCAAGAGAGAAAATTCAGTTGTGACGAGGCAAATAGCTATTTTAATCCCCGAACGCATATTAATCTCAAGGCGTAATGTAACGAGAAAATAGTGCTGCAATGTAAACGGGTAAATATCTCCTTCAAGAATGAATTAGCCGTTGATCCAGAGTTTTATGGTTGCACAAAGTAAGGAATGTATAATACGAAACTTAACAGTTATAGTATATCTGCAACTCTGAAATAACAATAATAATCTTGCGAGCAATGTAATAAAATGAAATCATCAACCAAACACACCGGAAACAGAATTACTTATCTAACTACCTGGTAATCCACCGCCGATGGGATGTGCAGAGTGGACTTCTCCTCAACCGGAGCCTCCTCGACACAACGGCGTTTCGTGGCCTTTTTGGCTAAGTATGCTTCCAAATAGACTCGGTCTTCTTCGGACGGGACAGAAACGGTCACTTCATCTTTATATTTCGCCCAAGGTCCCGTATAGTCCTCACTTGTGGGGTCCCAGTTACTATCTCGTTTGCGTAGATCACCTTTACGTTTTGCTGTTTTTTCAAAAACAGTTTTTCCTAAAACCAAAAAAAGAGTGACACTTATTCGGGCTACCCAAAACCAGGGGGTGGCAGCTAGTCAAGACGTAAGTGTGATGGCTTCTGTTAGAGAACATATTTAATGTCTTCATGGTGAACGATGGAAAAAACAAAAAACAAATTAGAACACGAAAAGACCAAAAGCAAACCGCCGTGAGGACCTATCACGAAATGGATCTAGAAAAGTGCATATAAAACGCATTGTGTGACTGTCGGTTCACCGAGTGCGTACACTTAAGCTAAAAATGATAATCATAAATATTTTTGTCCCAATACGCCTGGTTTTCTTTTCGATATGTGCTTCGCCAATAAATGCTCATCCTTAATGATGCAATCAAACATATCGGAATGCGAAAATCAGCTAATAGTTGACAGTTTCTTCTTCTTCTAAATACGTGGATAGATTGCTTTTAACACTTTATTTACTTGCTAATTACACTACAGTTCATATGCTGTTGCACCTAGGTACATCACCTTTTTGATTCTGATAACTTTACGAGCAGCTGGTGGATTTTTAAGCAATAACAAGTTGTTGAGAAGGGTTTTAAATGAACACGCATTTCAGCCCAACCGGCGCAAATGTCTGTATAGGATTTCCACCCGAATGAAAACAAGATGCGTCATGAGAATCTATCAAGTAAATAGCAGTACAGACAGTGTGAAAATCAGTTGAAAAACCGAAGGACACCGGCTTATTTTTAAGGACTCCATCAACGTGCTTTTCCGTTTAACATTTCATGTTTATGATGCTCAGATGTAAACACGATTATGTAGCAGCGTTATATCAACCGTTGAAGTATAAAACGATTCAACGACTTAGCATAATCATCAAATGTGCAGACAATAATAGTGCTGAAAACAACCTAAAACTGCAACTTAGTTCCACAGAAGTGATACTTACTCATGTACAAATTGTTTTGCATTTGAGTAGCAGCCAAGTGAGGTATGGTTTATAATTCTCTAGTACCTAGAGCGGTGGTGTCATAAGTTCATCAGTTCTAATGCCTCAGTGACTCGATTATAACCTCTTACGAGAATAAAAAGCCCGTTCAATGTTTTAAATTCAACATACGGACCATATACACTAATAGAGTTTGTCGAATATTCCCGTACCGGGTGAATGACATAAATAGGAGAAATAAATGTGAAATATTTTTAATTGGTTTTCTCAAATCGATGAGATTTTCTTATACTCTTCGCTCAATTCGGGCACTGTGTGTCTGATTATCCCACGAAACTTGTGCAATGAGATGCAGACAATAGAATTCGGGCAGTGATAGTTTGTTCGTCTTCTATGGACAATGCTCATCCACCGGAAGTATAAAGAAGAACCGAATGAACATCTTCAGCTTACAAGCATGAATACCTGAATACCAAAGGCACATTAAGTTAGCAAACCATAACCAAAAGGGGGCGCACGAAAAAGATAGGTTACTAGTTGTGTAAACTCGGTTGAGCAACTTTAGGTTTAATCTAAGATCGCCAGTTTTTGCATGAACACAAAATCGGTTACATCTCTCACGGAAATACCTTGAGTGAACGATGCCCATGCCCATTTTTATAAAAATGAAGTAGCGTGCCCATTGAACTTCAAGAGACCCAATATATCAGATCCGTTTATACAACCAATAGCTACATACTTTCCAGTGGCGGTTTTGGTTGCCCGTTTGAATGCTAAACACAGTGGCAGGGTGAAAACAGATAATTTAAATAGACTAACATTTCATGTATGTTTCAAACAAAACATCTCAATATATATCACTGATTGGGAATAAAAATGTCTTGGGAAAATAAAATAAAATCACAGATTGTTAGAAACGATTTCACCATGAGACCAGAAATAGGGTTCACAACGATCACAGATTTGTTTGCCCACTCATCCGATCATCGAGAGTACCCGTAATACGGTGTGTGATGGTGGATCAGGGAAGCTTTAGCGCTTGCACAAATTGTTTTTAGGCACAGCGGGGGGTTGTGCAGACGAATGCCCACCGCTTCCGCTGCGGCCAGCATCCGACAGCGAACGTGCCACGATAATCGGGAGGAAAGCCACGGACACGCTCTCAATGTGATTTGTTTCAGCTAGGTGTGAAGCCACTGCATTGGTGAGTGACTTAATCGCTCCGGTGTTCAGGGTGGTGTTTACGAATCCCTCCGGACAATTGCCTGACTGTGCGACCTACGTGCGTTGTTCCACTCACTTACTTTTATTTTTGATCGACTACCTCCTGTGGGAGGATAAGTCGGCTTCCTGGATGTCTCTAATGATGGCAGTCCATGCATGACGATTGGTAGCAAGGTTGGCGCAGTGAGAAACCCAGTTCTGGTTCCAGTTGTGAATTCCATATACGGATTGAAGACCCAGTAATTCCAAATCCTCTTTGATCGCACTACTCCAGGTCTTCAGTTGACCACCGAGTCGGCAACGCCATCCACGGCATGGTGCGGGGGCTACAACCTGCCGCGAGAGTTGAGTGTCGGGTTTTCGGAGCACATGGTTAAACAACTGAAGGCACCGGCGTTGTAGCATTTTTGAAAGCTTGTCGGTGTTCAAGCAACGCCGTCGAACCTCATCATTGGAAATTCGATCTCTCCAATTTGCTTTCAAGATGAGGTGTAAGCACCAATGATCAGAAGTTTGTTTCGCATCAATTCCACAACGGTTTGATGAGCTGTAAGAAGGCTCTTCTAACTCCATCTACACGTAGTTGGATTTCATCCTTAACCTGGTCGTTTGGTCTTATCGTAGAGTCAAGATACTTAAAAACTTTGGTTGGTTCGACAAGCTCCCCGTTAATCGAGAGGGGCTGTGTCATAGTACAAGTTTAGGTCGAAAATTTCTTTGTTTTCGACGTGTTGATCTCTAGCCCAAAGGGCTGGGCAAACTTATTTATACGACTGACAACAGACTGAAGGTTGTCCATGCTGATGGTGTTGGTGAGTTCTCCGAGCAGGAAGTGTTGTTCACAAACGTTTCGTAGCCAAGCTAGGCAACAGTATCAGTGCGACGAAGTCTGCGAACAACACTTCCTGCTCGGTGAACTCACCAACACCAACGTTGTCCATGCTGACTCCAAGCATAACGACATCCGCCAACTCAAGGTCCGCAATGTACCTGGGCCACGCTGCACTCCAGGGTAGTCGATGAGTGCTTATCCCATTATCCAATCTATGGTGTAATTGAATAACACCGGCNACACCGGCTATAGGGGACAACCTTGCCTAACTTCAGAGCTCAGGGTAAACTCAGCCGATTCCTCTCCATAGGTACGGACGCGTGCCCGGGTTCCGGAATATTATGACTTTAAAAGCCTGATAAACTTCTCATGTATCCCGTCGGACCGCAATATGCACCACAAGGATTCTCTATCGACAGAGTCAAACGCAGCACGGAAGTCAATAAAGCAAGCAGTGGTAGGCTGTTGGAACTTGTAGCGGTGTTCCAGAATTCTACGGACAGTGAAGATTTGCTCAACACAGCCTATTCCGCAGCGAAACCCCCCTTGGTTCGGGCGAGTGTGAGTATCTCTGACGACTGCAAAGCGATTAAGCGGTATCACTGCAAACAATTTAGCCGTAATATCAATCAGGCTAATGCCCCTGTAATTTCCGCACCTAGATCTGTCACCCTTTTTTGGAACCAGGACTAAAACTGAAGCCGTCCAGTCTTTTGGAAAAACT